TGGGAAATAGAGGGGATGACTTACGTGGTCCATTGACCTTGATGCCACCAGAGAGAGTCTTGACACCAGAAGAGCTGAAGATGTATGAGGTGAATTTTGCAACTTGTTCTACAAAGTCTTCACTCAGCTCTTCTTCTGCAACTGTTTCTAGTTTAGAAAGTTTCTTCGTTGGAGCAGGCCTGTCAAACACAAAGCACTTCCTCTGTGGGAAGAACTTCCTGATGCACAGACGAAGCTCATTAAAGCTTTTAGTTTTCTCATCAGTTCCTTAAGGAAGGATAAATTCGATGCAGTAAATTTCAAATAAATTATTTAAAGCACATGACCCTTCCAATATTATAACTTTCCCAAAGCAAGGGGGGGATTACAATGGAATGAGCAATAAAAAATTAAAGGAATGGGAAAGAAAACACCCTTTCTCTAAGAAGCTGTGGATGATACAGTTCAAATTCAACCAGCTGTGTTTTCATTTCCCATAACAGCAGTGAGGACAGCACAATTATAGGATCAAGAACTTTACCAGGAATGCAGAAGTGACCTTTATGCTATTGATATCATTAGATCTCAAACTTCCCTTGAGCTCATTCACCTGTTTTCAGAAGCAGTGAACTCTCCAGGTACTCATCAGGAGTGATAGGGTTTCCATTAAGTTCCAGCTCCAGGTGGAAATCCCTCAGGGTCCACACAAAGGTTGGAAAGAAGCCCACAAAGATAGCTGAGTCAGCTATGCCACTATCCTCAGGCGATGACTTTGATTTGATTAGATCAGTCAGCTCTGTCACATAGCTGGCATGCCAAGTTAAGAAAACTATAGGGAAAACACTAATTTTATACTAATTTTATGATGTAGATTCCACCACTACCCCCTAACATGTTTGTTTGTTAGCTTATTCATTTTCAGAATTTATTCAGTCACAGATTTCTATTTAATGTCTTCTATGGAACAAGCACCATCCTAGGGACAAAATTTTAAAATAAGTGAGAGAATGCCAACACACAGAGTTTGTGTCTAACTGAAGAAGACAGGCACAAGAAATAGTGAATCAGTGCATGCATCTGCATGGGGAGCTTGCTCATGGAGTTCTTCAAAGGGGTACTTGAGCTTTCTGAGATCCTAGGTTATAAGGAATCCAAATGAATCAACAGATCCAACCATGGGAAATATAATGAAAGAACATTACAAACAGAGGTCACATCACTTATAAACCCTTAAACAGAAAAACATGATTATATGGTGAATTTAAATCATGATTGCCATTGTAGAGGGGCAAAAGTTCCAAATGACAGACATATAGGACATTTAAGTTAGACATACCCAATTCTTCAGTTTGATTTGCACTAAATGGAAGGCACTGGGAGACTTTATGTAGAGAAGCTATGATACAGCATCATTTCTCAAGAAAACACTGGCAGGGAATATACCTGGTAATCAAAAGTATAAGCAAAGAATAATATGGTAGTTGACATGTCCAAGACAAGAGACAAGAAAATCTTACACTAGAGTTTTTGTGGCAGATATTTAGAGAATATGTCAGTATAAAGAAATAGGTTTGCTAATAGAACTGAGAACTTTTGTGGAATAATAATTTATAGTGTTTGAGAAAATGGTTGTATCAAATGATTTCTGTTTTAAATCTGAGAAATTCTGCAAATGATGGGAAAATAATGTAATAAGAAACATGGAGGAAGGAGATATTTTGAAAATTGTGAATTTGAATCATCTCTTAGATATCTACATGAAGGCAGCTAAATGTAAAAGACTGAATGTCGTCGTCATAACTGTAAACTTGATGGCAACTGTCACACAGGTGCTACATAGGCCTTGAGTCTAAATGGCAGCACCTAGAGACACAAAGTAACACAAGGATAGGAGAGGCACAGCAACTAGTGAGTTGTACACTTAGAAGCCACAAAAAGGAGAGAACATGAACAGAAAACGTTGGCTGGTGTGGTAGGTGGAATACCAGAAAACTTAGAAACTCTACATCTAAGATCCAAGTCAATCAGAAAGGAGGAAGAGCTTAATTTATGGCATCTGCTAAGAGATCAAATAATACAATCGCCCACTGGATAAGGAGTTAATTGAGCTCAATATTTGGTGGTAAGGCCATGGATTAAGAGGTGATAACGACATAGATGAGCTCCTAAAAATGGAAACAGTGGAAGAAGGGGAATGAACAGGGATATCATGTGTACATAAGTGTCTTCTAGTTTCTAGTCTTTAGAAAGTTAACAGAGTTTTAAAATTTTTGTCAAAAAATGTTGTGGTGAGGGTAGGGTTGAAAAAGAAGACTGGACATAAAGGTGTCATGCTCTGAATGTCTAAACTTCAGAGACTCTGCTGTTCTTTTTATTGACATAAGGATGAGAAAGTGCTGCAGAGTCTAAATAGGAGGAAAAGCATGCCTGTCACTTCTAGAGTTCCATAACATGCAAAGTGAGAGCTAAAACAAAAGGACAGCCAAACAAACAACATCTCAGAGAACCTGAGAGATTAGCAGGAGACATTACCTACAGCTCATAGCTGGGTTGTTAAATGTTAATACTTAGAGGTGCTGACAGTAATGGTCATTTTCAGGGACAGAAGTTTTAACTGATGTTGAGGATTTGGACACATGTGGGATATTAATCCAAATATGGATTTTCTGAGCAGTGTGTGGCTGTGTTTATGGTCATATGGACCAAGAGAGCTTGAACTTGTGGTGGAGACTGAGGTAAACCCAGATGCAAAGGAGAAAATTGTTGTCTAAATCCCTCAGTCCTTACCTGCCAGTCTACCTGAGGAAGTAAGAAGCTGGTCTTCCAAGATTTAGTACTGTTCTAGACACACAGAAAGGATACTGCAGTTGGCCCATGGCCTGCTGGTTGATAGTTCTTATGCTGTTGTAGATGAAGGTGCTGCTGAGGAGGACTGACAAGGCAAAGATCCAGCAGTCATTCTGGTTGTCTCCCTGCAGGTCAGTGAGTGAAGAAGAGTGACTAAGAGACTGTCTATCATCTCAAGTAGCCAAGATGAGCCTTTGTCTGCCTCCTATTAGCTATGGTATCAAAAGTAATTAATTTCTACCACATAATAATTCTGTACCTGTACAATGATTTTATGAATGTTCAATTCATGCTCTATAATTTAAATAAAATGATGTACACTCATGTATATGAGAGCATGAAGGACATTCAAACTTAAAGGTCATAATGTTGATCAGATGATAAAATTTAAAGTGGCATGCTGGGTTTCACTCACAGAATATGTTATGTTAAGCGACTATCTTAGATATGGTTTCTATTGTGTGAAGAGACACCATGACCACAACAATCTTATAAAGGAAAGCACTTAATTGGGTGGCTTACAGTTCAGAGATTCAGCCCATTATCATCATGGTGGGACATGGTGGCAGGCAGGCAGATCTGGTGCTGGAGAGGGAGCTGAGAGTTCTACATCTTATGCTAGCAACAGGAAGTGGTCTCTGACACTGGATGTGGCTTGAGCCACATATATCAGACCACAAAGCCTGCTTCCACATCGATACATTTCCTCAAAGAGGGCCACACCTTATCCAAAAGCCACACTTCCTAATAGTGACACTCCCTTTAGGGGGGGACATTTTCTTTCAAACCACCACAAGAACATTTTAGCACTATCAAAATAATGTCTTTTAATTGAGTTTTGTGTCTGTCAGACTGGGAAGAGTAGTAATGTGATACTCCATGAAAAATGATGTTATTGCAAATTGTGGTTTGTAAGAGAATGGACTCCATAGGCTCATATGTTCAAATGCCTAGTCACCAAGGATGGAATGGAAAAGTTTGAAAGAATTAGAAGGATTAAAAGATGTGGCCTTATTGTGTCACAGTGGGTAGGATTTTAGGTTTCAAAAGCCTAATGCAGGACTAGTCTCTCTCTCTCTCTCTCTCTCTCTCTCTCTCTCTCTCTCTCTCTCTCTCTCTCTTTCTCTCTCTCTCTCCCCCTCTCCCCCTGCTGCTTAAGGATCAGGATGTAGCTCTCAGCTACTATTCAAGCACCATGCCTGCCATTTCTGCTGCCATGATGTTAATAGACTAAGCCTTTGAAACTGTAAGCAAGCCCATAGTTAAATGTCTTTTAAAAAAAAAAAAGTAATAATACTTGCCATGGTCATAGTTTCTGTTCACAGAAATAGAGCATTACCTAAATTTTATTTTTCTCTCATTAATAATGTTGTATAGAAGTTACAATTCTTAACATTCCACAGGCTCACACCTAAGAATCAGGCATGTTCAGAAAATGCATAGTCAAATTTAGAGATACCATTGAGAGTCTCACCAAAGCATTGTGTGGTGGTGTAAAAGTAAAATGGCCAAAAACATTGTCAGTTATTATTATGAAGGCTGACTGACTACTATCAGTTGACTTTAGTGTCTACTCCTGCTTCCTATGTCAGGTGAGTTGAAGAATGATATACTAATTTGATTTACCAGGAGCATAAATGAAAGATTGGAAGTGAAGAATACAGGTAGGCTATTGATGCACCATGAATAGAATTTGAAAGAGGATGTTGTACCTTCCCTATATCTTCCAGGCCCTCAGTATCAAGCAGAACTAGTGTGTGTCCTGGCTTCTGGGAATGAGGCACACACCACATCCAGATCCCCTTGGTGTGAGACTGCACCGTGGAGCCCAGAGAGAAGCCTGCAGGGTGGGGATGAAATGGGGGAGATGAACAGCACATGCTTCATGAAATCTCATTGGAATGACCATATTTACCACTTACAGGAGGACAACCAGTTACAAGAATTGGTTTTCATTGCAAGCTTAGCAAAAGGGAGGGCAGACATCCAGTGCTGAGCAATCATTCATTTCCACCTTAGACATCAGTGGATGCTTGCTCTTCCTACATGAACATTCTAATAAATATTTTATATTTCATCATAAAGTAAGTTGACCTTCTCTATGAATGTATTATTTCTTCTATTAAAACACACTTTTACCTTTAAATGAGGAAGTAACCAGTGAGAAGACTAATTCAGAGAATAAAAGTCTTCTGATGCACACAAACTATCCCACATTACCCATGTGTCTGACTTTTCCTTGTCATCTCTGCTTGCTGGATGCTGGGAGTGGGAGTGGGCAGAGGAGACTCAGCAGAGCTTTGCTGGTGGCACTCACCATTCTGCTTTCCAGCCAGCTTGTTCATCAGGTAGGATTTTCCTGTACGGTAAAGGCCCACTATTGCTACCACCACCACAGGCTGTTTGATAGCAGACAGGATCTCCAGTGCTTCCTGGTTGGCCACCAACTGCTGGTCAGAGTTCTCGATGAGGCACACTGGGCCTGGCATGTGGATTTCTGAAGCCATTTCCACCTTACTCTTACGTTTGCAAGAAATAATAAAACAGGAAAAAATTCTGTGTCAGGTAGAAGAACTCCACTCAATGACATGAACCTAGGGTGCAATAGTGGCATGCATACTTTTTTGGGGAACCTACCCAACTGCCTGAGGGTTGTGAGTGAGGCCATGGACCTTGGAGGAGATCCAGCTACTGCCACTTACTAACCCATCAAAATTCTTAACTGCATTTTAAATATTTATTCTTATACCATAGATAAGTGCTGCTCTCATTCCTCATCAAAGAAAATTTTCTTTGCAACAGATGGAGATCACTACAAAAAACTACATCCAATCAAAGCCCAGAGAACAAATGATTATGTGGTACTCAGCCACAGCTGATACATCTGTAACATAACTCCTGCACCTAAAGCTCAGGGAATACCATGGAGAAGGGAGAAGAGGTGGCAACAGACTTAAGAGTCAGAAAACATAAAGTCTACTGTGACATTAAGGCTCCTAGAAATCCTAGGGAAGCTACAAAATCTCAATGACTTGGCTGCCTAAACAAGACCCAAAGAGTATGACACCAATAGCTAACATCAAAGGGGAAAATCTCATGGGACCTAAACCATAAACAAAGAATTATAAGCAACTAAGGAATACTGAGATTGGGATAAATAGTCTTCTGCAAGCAAAACCTGCCCAGATGGTTGTCCAATACCAAGTGGTCTGGCCTGAAATCATATACATCCAAGTAACATTACAGAGATGAAGCAGATCATGTTTATAGATTTAGGAACGTGTGTGTGTGTGTGTGTGTGTGTGTGTGTGTGTGTGTGTGTGTGTGTAACAAGAATTAAAGAAAAAGAGACCATGGATTTGAGAGAGATCAAGGGGTGATTCACTAGAGAGTTTGTAGGAGAGAGGAGGGGAAGAGAAAAATGATATTATTATATTTTAATATATATCAAAAATTTATTAAACATAACATGAACCAAAATGTTCTTTATTTGGAACTTGTTCTTTGTGTATTTTTAAATGTCCTAAAGGTGTTTATGTCTGTCCTAAAGGTTAACTGCTTCCATTTAAAGCTACTTTGATTTTGAAGTTCACAGATATCCAGGAAAGTTGAACTGTTTTAGAGTTCTCATGAAGGACTTTCCAAGTCCTGATGTTTTCTGTAATTACAGAAAAATGGTAGAAACCAGAATTTAAACATGTTTATAATACCTCAATGAAACTGCATATCATAGACCCCTACTTTTTAAAAAATAGCTTTCAATTAATGTCTTTTTTCTTGCTGTATGATTGAACCCAGGATCCCTTATTAATCCCCAGATGTCTCACTAGGTTCCTCTCATCTTCAGGGCTTTTATTCCTTATCATTGCTTGGGAATTTTAGAAGGATGTAAGCCAATCATCTTGTAGAATACTGCTCACTTTTTGTTTTTCTCATGTCTGTCCAGTTTTGGTTTGGGATGTATTTATTATTCTTATTTATTTGGCGAAAGATCTCAGAGTTAATAGTCTGTTATCTTAGTAAGGGTCTCTATTGCTGTGGTGAAACACCATGACCAAAAAGCAGATTGAGGAGGAAGAGTTTATTTGGCTTAAATTTCTTTCATCACTGAAGGAGGTGAGAACAGGTACTCAAACAGGGAAGGATCTTGGAGGCAGGAACTGATGCAGAGGCCAAGGAGGGCTGCTGCTTACTGGCTTGCTTTCCTTGGCTTACTCAGCCTGCTTTCTTAAAGAATCCAAGACCACCAGCCAAGGGATGGCAGCATCCACAATGGTCTGGGCCTCCCCCATTGATCACTAATTGAGAAAATGCCTTACAGCTGGATCTCATGGAGGTATTGCTTCAATCAGACCTGTTCCTTTTTGATGACTCTAGCTTGGTCAGTTGACACATAAAATCAGCCAGTATATCTGTCTTCCTCAGTGATCAAAAGAAGGCTTTTAGCCATACAGTCTCCTGTAGTTGTTAATGGACTCAAGCTGCTTCCAACAATTGGAAAAATAATTCCTTTTGTGTGGTGGCAGCAGAACCCCCCCCCCAGGCCTCCTTGGTAGAGCTGTGCTCTGGAGAGTCTGGAATGAGAAGGGAGAAACACTGGAGCTAGAAGGGGTGCAGCAAGCCTGACCTTTGCCTCAGAAATTGGCCCCCAGCAAGAGATGTGTTTCAGCCCCAGGAAAATGCTGGCCAATCCTAGAAACTGGTGTGACATTCCCTTAAGAGCAATGGACTCCTAGCCACAGGGTGGAGGAAGAAAATTAAGTCTGGTAAGGGTGTTCCTAGAACCCTAAACAGTATCTAGAACATGGTGTGGGCTGGATTGGAGCAACAGATTCCAAGCCGCAGAGACAGTGGAATTAGAAGCAGAAGGATGGTAAAGAAGTCCAGTGTAGTAAAGATGTCCAGAGCTAAGAGGTCTTCAGCATCCTCTACCCAAGTCATAGCAGAGGAAGCTACATGGGTCCCAGAAAGTTTGAGACAGAACTTGCTAGTGTAGGACCCTGATGGACAGACTAAGCAAAACACTAGGGACGGGCTCTACTCCAACCAGAAACCTTGACTGAGAACCTAGTACCTTTCATCTTGTTTCATTATTCATTTGTGCTTATATCTTTTAATCTATAATTTGATATTTCATTTTAAAATTTTATATTCAGATATACAGATAGAAAAGATAATAGATACATTTCTTTGGAATTTTTTGTAACTTGATTACCTTCTGCCCCCTGCCCCATTTGTATGTGTTGTAACTTATATCTTGGGAAAAGGTTTGTGTTTCTCCTTCTTTTCTCAAAATGTGTAGAACATTTTCTCTCTGTTTTTTATTTATGAAACCCATTGCTTTTTTGCTGTTCTTTCTCTATTTACTCTGATTCATTAGCCTATTCACTGCTGTCTTCACTACTAAAACACATCACATTTTCCCTGTTAGTGTCCTGCACTGCTCTCTTAATTCCCTGTAGTCAAGAGCATAGTGAACACAGAGTCCTTTCCTGTAAAGTTTATTGGAACAACCATCAAACTGCCACAGTTGGTGCTGAAGTCAACTTTTGCCCTTCATATAACCTAAGTGAAGACAAGCTACCAGAGATTCACATACATTTTTAAAGTGTAAACAAAAAATCCACAAACCAGGGAAAACCTTCAATTGGTACAAGAGACAGAGAAATCAGAATGACATCAGATCTGTAAGCAAATCCCAAATCTAAGGAAGCATGAGATGAATGTGTTTCCTTACTTGAAAGTAAATAATGGACATCCAAAAGTGCTATAGTCATCAATATTTCTATTAAAATTGGCAGAAAAGAGGACCATTTCAAGTCAAACACAAGTTCCACTAATTCATGGTAGCTAAGCTAGAACAGCTGAAAATTCTTAAAGGAGTTCTAACACAGAAAAATAAGACAAGAGGAAGAGGAGGAGGAACAACAGAAACAGTTTCACACAGGAGAACACAGGAAGGAATTCATTCCATGGAAGCAGCAGATGAGCAAAAGACAAGTGGTAAGGAATTAATCATGTCCAACCATGCAAACCATGGAACACCCAATGCTATTGGGAGAAGAAAAGGCCTGTCAATCAACACACGAACCAGAGCAGCCAAGAAAATCATGTATAATAGCAAAACCCTTTCTTAACTATGACCTTAAATGCAAAGGTCATTGATCTGCAGGTTAAAAGACACAGACTGGACGACTGTGGCATATAATAAATTTCAGTTTTACTCAATTATTGAAAAAAAATAGCCAAATGAATGGAAACACATGAACTATGAACCAAAGACTGAGGGGCTCCCAGCTGGATCAGGCCCTCTGAATAGGTGAGACAGTTGATTGGCTTGATCAGTTTGGGAGGCATCTAGGCAGTGGGACCAAGTCCTGTGCTCATTCCATGAGTTGGCTGTTTGAAACCAGGAACTTATGCAGGGACACTTGGCTCAGTCTGGGAGGAAGGGACTGGACCTCCCTGGACTGAGTCTACCAAGTCGATCACAGTCCTCGGGGGAGGACTTGTCCTGGAGGAGGTGGGAATGGAGGGTGGGCTGGGGGTAAGGGGAGGGCGTAGGAGGGGGGAGAATAGGGGAACCCATGGTTGATATGTAGAACTGAATGGTATTGTAAAATAAAAAATATATATCACAAAAAAAATAAAATAAAATAAAATAAAATAAATTACCAAAGCATGAAAAAAAAAAAAAAGACACAGACTGAATGACTGGACAAACACAAACACAAACACAAACAAGGTCTGGCTGCTGGATGAACAGCTCAGGGGTTAACAATACTTGTTAGTCTTCCAGAGTTTGGGAGTTCAGTTCACTGAATTGATGTCAGGCAACTCACAATCATCTGGACCTCTAGCTCCAGGACATCAAAAGTCCTCCTTAGTTTCTTCAGTCACATAGACACACACACACACACACACACACACACACCTTCCAGACACATGCACTCATATACACAACATAAAAAATAATAAAATTAAACTTTAAGCCGGGCAGTGGTGGCACACTCCTTTAATCCCAGCACTCGGGAGGCAGAGCCAGGCAGATCTCTGTGAGTTCAAGACCAGCCTGGGCTACCAAGTGAGTCCCAGGAAAGGTGCAAAGCTACACAGAGAAACCCTGTCTCAAAAAACAAACAAAAACAAAAAACAAAAAACAAAACAAAAAACAAAAAAAAGGAAAAGAAAGAAAATTAAACTTTAAATCTAGAAAGGCTGAATTTTTTCAATAAACAACACTGGGGGAACACTTCAGAAAAGGCAGGACATTTCTGAATAGAATCCCACTAGCATGGGAATTGACTCCACACATTCCAAATGAGATTACACAAAACTAAAACTCTTCTGCACACCAATAGAAACTAGTAACAGAGTGAACACACAGCCTACAGGATGAGAGAAACATCTTTGCCAGCTGTACCTAGGAACAAAATATCCAAGAAATAAAGAAATATAAAAAATAAACATAAAAAAGAACACCAACAAAACTATGAATCCAGAAATGATTCAAGGAACTGAACAATCAACTCTCAAAAGTACAGAAGACCAAAAAATAATTTTGAAAGTTTTCAGCATCCTTAGCCATCAGAGAAATGCAAATCAAAACTACTTGGAAATTCTACCTCATATAGTCAGAAGGGCTATTCTCAAGAAAGCAAAGGACAAAGAGTGGGTTGTGGTCCTAATAGCATTTATCATTTCTGGTTTGTTCCACATAAATTTAGGCCTTCCTCTGTCCTGCTTCCTGTCTCTTACAGGGAAGAGGGCAGAGACCAGTCATGTTTCTAGATCACAACCTTCCCTCTGAACAATAGACCCAGGAAGCTGAAAAGCTGATAGTTGGGATTTTAAAATAATAATAATAATTCTTTCTAGGTTTCTTTCTTTCTTTTTTTTTGTGTGTATGTTTATCACACCTTTGTGGGTACCTATGAAGGCCAGAAGAAGTGTCAAATCACCAGGAGCTGCACTCACAACCCAAACTAGGCTCCTCTAGAGGAACAGCCAGTCCTCCTAACTGCTGAGCCATCTCTCGAGTCCTGATAGTTTTCAATTCTACTCTATGCCACCATAAAATGGGAGGAAATCAATAATATTGACCCAGGAAAGTGTCTGCAAAAAACTGTATAATCTTCTGAGTCATCAGTGAACAAGTGTCAGTTTTACATGCTCCAAGTTGATTGGCTTCATTTTTTTAAGAGGTGTAAAAACAGGCAACAATGTGGGCGAGTGTGTGAGAATATTTAGGCAGCAGAGATAATTTCAGATGTGTCCAGGTAAAGGACAACGAACCCTGCAGTCCCCAGCTCTCTGTGGACTCCACTGACTGGAGCCCATTGAGCAGAGTGGTTAACAGTGGCACTGAAGGAATGCCTTCCCTCCTCCCTGCAAAACTGGGATTCTAAGTGCACTGCTGACCCACATCCAGAGCACAGCAGCTTCCTGTGAGAGACTATTGCACAGGTAAACAGCAGGGTCCTGCAAGCCTTCCCACCCTGCTCCCCTGACTCACCTGCAGCAGAAATGCTTCTGCTTTGGTAAGAAAGCTGCTTAGGGGGAAGCTAAGAGCACTTGGCTTCTTGGGTCCTGAATCAGGATGCTCTGATTAATTCCTTCTGCACCTGGACATTACCTCTCCAATTTCCTGGGTGGTCCAGAGCTTTAGCAAATAGTTTCTGCTGAGGAAGCTAAGTAAGAGGTGCTTCAGCAAAGACATTTATATAGAAGAAAAGTGAAAGTAAAAGCACGCAATACAACTAAATTATTGATGGCTTGCAGAATTTGGGGAGACTGTTTGCTGACAAATAGATTGCACAAGGTTTCTCAGAATTTTCCAGCTGAAAGAATGCTAATAAGATGCTGGTTGTTGGGGGTGGTTGGGGCTAGTTTTTAAGCAATACCATATATCCCATGTTTAGGAGCCAGTTTGAGAAGTGTAGAAATGAGAATGTTTCATCTGATAGTATTTTGGGTTCAGTTGCTTGGAAGACTAAACTCACAGTGGATTTAATTACGATGTTTACTCATGTAAGACTGGAAGTACTCTGAGACATTTTTCAAGATTACACAATTTGAATTCTATAAACCTAACCCATTTCTTAGAACTTGATATTGGAGAACTAAAAAAATAATAATGGAGATAGTTCCCACATGCACATTTGTGAGATGCAAAAGTATTTTAGCAAAGTTAATACCACTTTATTTTCTAATAATACTTTTGTCACAAATAAATTTATTAATTTGGAATCACTAAGCAAAATTTGACTAGAAAAATCTCTTGTTCCTAATTATATACATAGAAAAAAAACATACCTACACACACACACACACACACACACACACACACACACACACACACAGTGTTAAGATAAAGACAGCACACCGAGCTGTCTGAAGGTTTCCATCACAGGCTCAACACCAGTCTAAATCAAAGGAAAGACAAGAGTCTTCAAAATGGTTTGAAGCCACTATAGTACTCTGTCCCTTTATTTTGTTTCTTGTCCCCAACACAGTTAGTCTCCTCTTGCTACTGTACCACTAGTAGAGTTTAGACTTTAATTTTGAAAAGTTTTTGTTTTAATCCAACTCCTTATAGTCATCTGGATCTGTGTACTAATATATTGGAGAAATTATTTTGGCCACTCCATGTAGTTAAAAGGATATTTATTTAATGGCGTAACTCACAAATTAAGTAAT